TGGGGATAATAAGGCGCCTCCTCCCTCCCCAGTGGCCGAGAGGAAGGAGGGCTGGAGACAATGCAAGCAAAATGCTTAGCACAGCGCCTGGCACAGCCAGAGCTCAGGACCGGAAGCTGCTGACCTGACTGGCGGTTGTGGTCTGGTCTTGGCAGCAGAGAGGACCAGCCCCCAGGGAGGAGGCCCCGCCCACAGGGACAGGCCTGAGACCTCAAGCTGGGGAGGGGGGAGCCCTCTCCTCCCTGTCTCAGCAAATTCTGAAACCTCAAATGACCAAGACCCAGGTCCCCGAGGCATTTCCTGCCCTTCCTCCAGGGAGGAAAGAGGAGCAGAAAACAGGCTGACATCCCCCAGGAAAGTGGCCCTTGGAAGGGGGCTCTGGGCTGTGCCCGTGGGGAGACCCACAGCCTTCTTCCTACTTTCCCCGGACTCTTGAGCCAGAGGGATCTTAAAAAAGGTCGTAGGACTTTTTTCTTTTTCTTTTTTTTTTTTTCTGGAAAGGACCTGAGGCTCAGAGTTGGGGAGGTCCCTTGCCCCAGGTCGCAGAGGAATCAACATCTAGGCCTCTGGGATGTTGAGCCTGTGCAGTAACCATCAGGCTGCACCATCACGGGGTGTGGCTGTAGTTGTAAATATATATCCTGGACAAAGGGGTCCCAGCCTCAGCTAGGACAGGATCCCCTCTGATGTCAAATGTTGACAACAGCTTTCACTGAGAGGGTCCCTTGATGGAGAAACTGCACAGTGGCCTGAAGCCCCCATGAGTTTGAGGGTAAAGGAACGTGTACGCCATGAGTCACAGGAGGATCCCGAACATGTTGCCAGCAGGCCCGACAGGGTGCCTCCTCATCCTGTGGTACCCAGCAGCGGTCCCAGTCACCTTCAGGCCCTCCCAGACCCGCCCCCCCCAGGACAGAAGCCACTGCCCAGCCCTTCTCCTTCCTCAGGAGCCGCCTGCCCCTCCAAGTGCCCTTTGGAAAGATGGTTTTTGACCAGGCTGAAGACAGGCCTGGGCGTTTCTCAGGAGAGGGCCTTGAGAAGGACACTTCCTTCAAGGGACTAAGTCACTGATCTGGTTGTATCAAAAACAGGGGCTGCCCGAAATGGGGTGTGGCTCAGTGGTTGGAGCATCAACCCATGCACCAAAGGGCCTTGGGTTTGATTCCTCATCCAGGGCACATACCTGGATTGCAGGTTCGATCCCCAGCCCCAGTTGGGGCACATGTGGGAGGCAACCAATCAATGTATCTCATCAATATTTCTCCCTCTTTCTCCCTCCCTCCCTTCCACTCTCTCTAAAAACATCAGTGGAAAAAATATCCTCAGGTGAGGATTAACAAAAACAAAACAAAAAAACAAGGGCTACAGAGAGGCACAAAGCTGCATTTCTTGGGGTTCAGTTAGGTGGCACATAATAGGTGCCCAAAACTCACACGTGGAAGGGAGGGAGGGAGCTTCCCCAGGGGCCAAAGCGGGCACCCTGATGATGTCCTTGAAGCAAGTGGGTGCCCTTGGGGGACGATGTGAAGCCGGAGAATGTGGGATCAGGGCACTACCGTGATATCTGCCCACACACCCATCCAGAACCTGCAACTGTCCTCCTCACAAAGAGAAACTGAGGCTCAGAGAAGGGCAGGGCTCACCCAAGCTAACTCGGGGAGAGGCGGCCAAGGCGGGGTCTGAACCCAGCTCTCACCACCTACCCACGCCCTCAGGGCACAGGCTCAGCTCCCTCCATATCCGCGCACCCTCCCTTGTCCTGACGCAGGCCCGGTACCTGGTGCTACCAGCCCTGGTGAGTCCAGGAGGCAGCCCTGGGAAACCAGAGGGAGGGGCTGGCAGATCCTTCCCGCTGGCGTGTTTCTCGCAGAAATCTTGGATCTGGACAAACCACGGCAGGATTCTGAGGGACAGGCCCCAGTCACCACCAAGCTGGACAGGGGGCTCCCCGGCCCAGGACTGCCTGCAGCTCGTCAGTCCGGGCAGAAGGGTGTTAGACTGTCCTGGAGTTTTGGAGGGTCTGGGCCCCTCTGATGAGAGCTGTGGTCTCTCTTCATAAACACACACACCCATCATGCCTGTGCACACACATGCATGCACACACACACATACTCTCACATCACACACATTTGCATATGCCTTGGTGGTATTCACAGCCCTCTCCCCAGAGGCTCGCTCATCCATGAACCCCAGATGAAGAAACCCCACTCTCAGCCAGTCCTTACCTTGTCACAGACGGGAAAACCGAACCCCAGACCAATGTGCTGTCTACATTCTTTCCTCATCGTGCTGAAGAGCTGACCCCTCTGAAGTCAGATCTCTGTTCAAAACCTAGCTTCTCCATCTGTAATATGGCGATGAGTGGACGCTGATCTTATGGGATCAACCCAGGTCTTCTCCTCCCAGGGGGAGTATGAGTGTCTGGGCCTCAGTTTTCGCCTCTGTAAAATGGGGATAATTGTGCCCACCTCTCCCAGTGTGGTTTGAAAATTAAACCGAAATGGGATGTGAAGCAGAGGTGGCACTCACTGCTCAGGAAGCCTTGGTTGCACGATGGATGGACAGATCCGGCTCCCCAGAGCCTCGGGAACTGGATCCTTCAAAAAAGAGGGAGGAGCCCTGGCGCGCTCAGTGATTAGAGCGTGGGCACTGAAGGGTCTCGGGTTCAATTTCCCATCAAGGGCATGCACCTGGGTTGCAGGTTTGATCCGGGCGCCTGCAAGAGGCAACCAGTTTCTTCTTCATTTTTTGTTGTTAATCCTCACCCGAGGATATTTTTTCATTGATTTTTAGAGAAAGTGAAGGGGGAGGGGGTGGGAAGGGAGAGAGAGAGAGATGAGAGAGACACATCGGAAAGAAAAAAATAAAGAGGAAAGAGAGAAAGAAAAAGGGGAAGAGGCTCCCGCATCATTCGTTCAAGCTTGGCGACCTGGGGTCCTGGATGCGCCTGGGACCGCGGCCAGGACTCAGCCCCCCCGGCCCTGCAACATGTACCAGGGCAT